CCCTAATCCCTTAAGGCTCATCAATTCCTGCTTGGCTGCAAGCAGCTTATGGCTCTGAACCTGGGAAAGGCTATTTAACACAGCTGCTGCTTGGCTCTGACTCCTAACAGCACTGGCCAGCAAAGCCCCAGTGCAGACACTTTGCCCAGCCAGGGGCACATGGCTAGGGCCCAAAGCATCCCTTCCACAACTCAGAGAGCCCCTAATCCCTTAAGGCTCATCAATTCCTGCTTGGCTGCAAGCAGCTTATGGCTCTGAACCTGGGAAAGGCTATTTAACACAGCTGCTGCTTGGCTCTGACTCCTAACAGCACTGGCCAGCAAAGCCCCAGTGCAGACACTTTGCCCAGCCAGGGGCACATGGCTAGGGCCCAAAGCATCCCTTCCACAACTCAGAGAGCAAGAGGGGTTCTAACCAGCACCTAGTTACATGCTTAATCTGCAGGGCACACACTCTAGGGCCAGAAGAGACTACTGCGATGATCTGGTCTGACCACCTGCATAATGCAGGCCACAGGACTTTCTTGGCATTAATTCCTGTTCAAACTACAGATCATTTTAAAAAAACCAAAAACAGCCAGTCGGGATTTTAAAGTAGCTGGTGCTGGAAATCCACCTAATTACCTTCACTGTTACAAACATGTACATTGCTTCTAGCTGAATGTGTCTAGTTTCATTTTCAGCCACTGGCTCTGGTTATACCTTTGTCTGCTGGACTGACGAGACCTAGATGCATTTCTGTTCTCCATGTAGGTATTGTGATCAAGTCACCCACTAACCTTCTTTCAGTTATGCTAATTAGATTGAGCTCCTTCAGCCAGGCACAGTAAGGCACAGTGTGTCTTTTCTAATCAATCTGATGGCTCTTCTCTTAACCCTCTCTAGTTTATCAATAGCCTCCTGGCCTCTGGGCACTGGAACTGGATACAGGATTCCAGCACTGAACAGAAGAATAATCCTGAATCAGACCAACAGGGCTCATCAAACCCCGTGTCCTGCCTTCCAAAAGTGGCTGGTGCCAGCTGCTTCAGAAGGAGCGAATGAAACACGGCAATTTACGAAGTGATCCATCTGGTCTAGTCTCAGGCAAAGATTTAGGGGCATGCAGAGCATGAGGTTGTGTCCCTGGTCATCATAGCTAATAACCACTGAAGGGCAAGTCCTTCATAAACTTTCAACATTTTTAACCCACTTGTACTTTTGGCTAGTGGCTGCATCAATGTCAAACACACACCAAATAACATTTCCCTGCTGCTGTTTGGACTCTGTGCTGTGACAGGAAAGGGAGATGTGACCTTGGTAAATGGCGGCTTTGTGGTGGAGGAGTGGGAAGGGGTAAATGAGCAATGGGAGGTGAGCAGAGGGGTAGTGGTGCAGAAGTAAGTGAGCTGGGGGAGGTGAGCAGGGTGGGGTCTGGGGAAGGGGAGGTGAACAGAGGAGTGGGGCGGGGGAGGTGAGCAGAGGGTGACTGAGTAAGGTAGGGGGGGGGCAGGGGGAGGGGTAAATAAGCAGGGTGGGGATTGGGTAGGGTGGGCAGAACAGAGAGAGCGTGAGGTGGGGGTGCTGGACAGGTGAAGTGGGGGCAGGGGGAGGAGAGCAGGGTGGGGCGGGGCAGAGGGAGGGGAGGAATGTGGGGGGTGGGAAAACAGAGGGGCAGGGGGAGTGGGAGCTAGGCAGGGCAGGGAATGGGAGGGAAGCAGGGTGGGAGCAGGACCGAGGGAGGCGGGCTGGGCGGGAGAGCAGGCAGGGGGAGCAGTGAAGTTTCACGTACTAATTAGAGAGAAGCAGAGGCAGGTGGCCGCGCCGCTGTGAGGATTATTCCTCGCTCCGTGTCCCAGCCGAGCGCCAGGAGTCCGGTGATTCCCGTTCGGGGCTGACTCAGGCTCGCTCCCCGCAGCTCCTGGGCCAAGCCTGCAGGCGCGGGGTACAGAAACGCCCGGCCGCTCGCAGCTCTGGGGCGTGGGACACTCGCCAGCGGCCTCAGGTAACTGCGGAGCTTACTGACTGCAATTAACCCCTCTGCTCTGCATTGCAGCACTTGGGGGTGGAAGGGAGTCGGATATGCCCTGAGGTTCCGATGCAAACAGCGCTGGGAAGCCGGCAGATCGGTATCATTCTATTTCAGAAATAAAACGCCTTTGCTTAAAAAAAGCCAGCAGGCGTGTGGTTCATGATTTGGATTACATTTTGCAACATGCTAGGATTAAGAGTCGCAGTACATGTTGGATCTCCTGAGAAAATAAAGGGAGCTCAACTAACAATCAGATTTCTTAAACTATTTTTGACAGACTGCAAAAGTGTTTTTATCTTATAATGGAGGGACAGGAACTTTCTTAGCCTGATTAGGAGCTAGAAAGACAGAAAATAGACAAGGAAAGAGAAAGTGGGTAGCGACACAAGACAGTGTGATCCCCAATTGGATAAACATATAGCTCTATATTAGGGATATCCTTCTTAAGATACTATTTTATGCCAGGTGAATTTTTCCAGCAAAGATCTTCTTGCATCCTTTTAAAAGATTTTTCATCTGATCTGAATGTAGAGGGGCAATTGGTTTGATAAAATTCTAGTTGGTATCCACCATGCTAGGCTGTCTGTCTATTGACAGGAAAAACTTAAAAAACAACAAATAGTCCTAGTAGCACCTTAAAGACTAACAAAACATGTAGATGGGATCATGAGCTTTTGTGGATGCAAATAGATATGCCACATATCTATTGACAAACACCCAACTTCCCTCTATTTTTCTCATTTTTGGAAACAAGTTTGACAACTCAAAAAAACCCCTTTATTATTATTTTTTAGTGTTAGTATTGAATCCCACATTTTTTTCTGCACTATAATTCAAATTTTTTAAGTTAAAGATTTCCCACTGGATCCACTTTTTTTCAAAATGTAATTAGGAATTTCTTAACTTAGAAATGGGATGGTTTGCTTTTATTTTAGATTTTGACTGTGGTATCTTCTTTCCAGATTGTATCTCATGGGATGTGAGATTAGGATAGAAATTTTTTTAATAAAACAACAAATTACAGTCCAGTTTACTACTTTGTTCTAATCTAAAAGTGCTCCTGGTCGAGACAGATCTATAGATAGATGCTGCCATGTTCACAGGCTTGCCACAGTCCTATCACCCTGTGTTCATCTCATGTGCTGGTCTCTTGCCATCACATATGGCTGAGCAAGATGGTGGGAGGGGAGGGCCTGATGCAATGTTCTGCCTAGTTACTGGGTAGTGGTATTAACATAATTTCTGTAATTTCTCTCTCCCATCCTCAAGTTTGTCCAGTTCCCTTTGGCTGCCTCCTATAGGCCTCTCCCATAGCCCTTACCCAACACCTTGCCCTGTCCGTCAGTCCCAGCCCCAGAATCCTTTGTCCCATACTGATTCCCTCTTAAATACCTACCATTCCAGCTCCATACAAACCTGTCCCATCCCCGTTCCATCTCAGGCCCCTGCTCCCTCTTTTCTCCACCCCATACCTGGCACCAAAGTCCCCTGTTCCATCCTCCTTCCATCTAGTATCCACACCCCAGTCCCATGTGCAGCCCCTCCTCACACTCCCATACCCCACTCAATCTGATCCCCTGCCCTGTTCCCCCATTCTTCTTCTATACACCCCTGCCCTCTATCTCTCCATCCCATATTCAACCTTACACCATTCTCTGTCCTCACCCCATTCACCCTGTGCCCTGATGCCACTACCACTTTCACTCTTCCCCCCAGGGCAGGTAGCCCGAGTCTGCGAGGCCCTGCAGAAGAGTGGGGAGTTTGAGCGTCTGGCACGGTTCCTCTGGGCCCTGCCACCTGCCCTTACTTTCAGGTGCCACCTGGCCTCTCCTTGGGTGCCAGCCTGTCCCAAGCTGCTGGGCTCCCACACCTCAGCTCTTTTGGTACCCAATTGCAGCCAGGCCTCACCCTATGGGGCCCAAGGAACCCTGGGGGGTCTGGACCAGCACTCATCATGCAGGAGACAATCCTCCACCTTCCCGAAGAGCAACATGCAGCACAAGGCCAGCAGCTTCAAGGTGAGCAAGGCATTGGGGGTAGGGCAGGAGAGAGAGAGAGGATAATGATAGCAGCCTCTAAGTAAGAAAATAAACTGTGGGGTCAATTCCTGTCCCCATGAAAGTCTGGGCGATGATTCACCTTCCTCAGGGAACAGACAGTTGGGGACAACTGTACCCCTCCCAGAGAAATGTTCTGTAGGGACAATCCCACCCCCTCCTGCGGTGGGACAGACAGGAGGGGATAATCCTTTCCCCCCCAACCACTGCCCTGGGAATAGACTACAGTGATGCTTCTGTCCATCATGGTGGTGAATGCTCTGTATGGAACCATGGGGAGGCTAATCAGGGTGGGGCCTATGGGTCTCCCTGTTGAGCTGATCCCTCTGTTGATAACTGTCCCATTCTCCCTCTCTCTGTCCACAGGAGAAGACACGGAACCTGCTGCGGGAATGGTACCTGCAGGACCCCTACCCCAACCCCTCCCACAAGCGCCAGCTGGCCCATGCTACTGGCCTCACCCCTACTCAGGTGGGGAACTGGTTCAAGAACCGCCGGCAGCGGGACCGTGCTGCCTCAGCCAAGCACAGGTGAGAGGCCTGAACTGCCACAGGATCTAAGATGGTGCCTGCACCATACAGGCCCGGTGGGGCTGGATGGGATGGGAGACATCCATAAAGCAAGCAAGAGGTCCTGTGTCGCTTGGAGCAGAAAGCAGCACTGAGAGCGGGGCAGGGTGCTCAGTAGCTGGCACTGTGCTGTATCACAGTGAGGCTCCATATGGGGAGCTGTTCTTCAGGGAGTGGGACGGAGTGTCAGGGGGCACCATGGTTCAAGGAGAGGGATGGGGGCTGAATAGGAAGCTTCATGCTACATGCAGTAGGATGGCAGGTGGCTGTAGGGGATGCAGGGCTACAGGGAGCTGGAAGGAAGGGCTGCAGGATGCAGTTCTGCAGGAAGTAGCTTTCAGAGCTGGAAACCAAACTGAATTCCCTGGTAATGTGGCATAAGAACTTAAGAGCGTTCACACTGGGTCAGACCAAAGGTCCATTTAACCCAGTATCCTGTCTGCCGACAGTGGCCAGCACCAAGTGCCCCAGAGGGAGCGAACACAACAGGTAATCCTCATATGGTCCCTCTCCTGTCATCCATCTACAAACAGAGGCTAGGGACACCATTCCCACCCACTCTTGCTAATAGCCATTGATGGACCTAACATCCATAAACTTATCTAGCTCTTTTTTGAACCATATTAAAGTGCTTGTCTTCACATCCTCTGGCAAGGAGTTCCACAGATTGACTGGGCACTGTGTGTGGCTTTGCTATTCCCTCCACATACAAGTGGGGTTCCAGGGTGAGCCTGTTCAGGTTCTGTCTCTTTCCCCCTTGCTTACAGGAGAAAAGGTTGCCACCTGTTTCCCACACTGATGATGTACCACACCTCTCACACATGGGCTCAGGACACTTGGGTTCTGTTCTTTCCTCTTCCAGAGACCTTATGCAGCTCTTTATGCCTCTGAGTACTTACTCATTGTCCACAGTGTGCCCGGACCAATGGGAACCATAGCCTAGGTTGGAGTCTGTGCAGCATCCAGCACAAAGGGTCCCTGATCTTGAATAGGGGCTGGAGAATATTTTCAGAGGGGTAGCCGAGTTAGTCTGTAACAGGAAAAACTTAAACAACAAATAGTACTTTAAACATAGTTTGTTAGTCTTTAAAGTGCTATCAGACTACTTGTTGGATAATATCTGGCATAAGAGAGGCCCTTATTTTGGACAGTCTCTTTGCATGACTATAGCCTGGTACTTACAACATGCAGGGAAGGTTTGTGCTGGGGAGGAATTAATATAATTGAATGGGGCTTTACGTTCTCTGGTTGTGTCTTTAATTCCTGTCTCCCAGACTCCAGAAAGATTCATCGTTCCAGCCAAGTGGGGCTGCCCAGCCTGCCAGAACGGAGAGTCAGGACATCATGGGCGTGAGTGACACTCCATCTCTGCAGGAGCACAGCAGCACCCCGGGCAGGCAGACATATCCCAGCTCAGCTGACAGCGACAGCAGTCTCTGAACAGAAGAAAGAGGTTACTTACCTCGTAACTGTAGTTCTTCGGGTTGCTCATGTCCAGTCCAATTAGGTGTGTGCGCGTCGCGTGCACGGATCTCGCAGTACCCTTAGGGCCAGCAGGGAGCCCCCTGGAGTGGCGCCAGTATAACAGCGCATATATACCCCTGCTGGCCCCTCCAGCCCCTCAGTTCCTCCTTCCCGCCTGTGCGGCAGTTGGAGCCTTAGACTTTGTCTTCCCTTAGATAGTTGTTACTGTGTTTGTAAATAGCGTTAATTTCAGTAGTTACCCTGTAAATAGTTGGACAATAGTTACCTTCCCCCTCCCCGGCTGGGGATGGGATGCCAGGACCACAGGGTTTTAAACCCTGCCAGTCCTGCCTCAAACCTAAGCCCTGTGGAGATCCTCGTGTCTCCTGCTTAAAGTGCCTTGGAGAGGCGCATTGTACCCAAACCTGCAAGATCTGCAGGGGGTTTAAACCGAGGTCAAGGCGAGAGAGGGACTCTCACTTGAAGAGATTATTAATGGAGTCCTCCCTGCAGCCTCCGGCACCGGAGGACAGTCAGTCGGCGCACGATGCCACTTCTGTGGAGCGGGAAGCTCCCTCTGCACCGACCAAGGTGAAGGCTAAGCCCTCCAGGCACCGGTCGCAATCTCCCTCGGGGAAGGGATCTAAGGACCGGAGGGGCCGTTCCCCTCACAAAACAAGCTGCAAGGTGCGCCCTAAGGAGGGGCACTCGGCTACTAAGTCCCATGGCCAGTCACGGCAAGATGGGGACCAGACCGAGGCCATACCGGCACTAGGGACAGAAGGAACCCTGCTGGATATGCAGCCCTCCACCCCAGAGGCCTTTCAGGCTGTATGGGACCTGATAGCCTTAACGGCTGCTGACATTTCAGGGTTCCCTCTCCCGGCACTGAGCAGGGCACTGGCCTTCCCAACCACAGGTCCCTTTGTCGCCAGCACAATTGTTATGGCAACGTCCCCCAGCGACTCTGAGCGCGACGGAGATGGCATCGGTGCCGATTTTGCAGACTGAACCTGGTGCAGGCGCCGACGTTGACTTTAGCCCCTCTGGGGCTCCCAGCGCCTCCAGGTTCGGCAACAGCAAGAGCTGTCTCGGCGCACACAGCGCTGGATTCGACACCTCCCTTGCAGACGCCCCGAAGGGTGGCAGTGGCACTGGGCGTTGAAATGCCTCCGGTGCAGGCAACGGCACCGCTGCTGGGAGCGTTCCCAGCGACTGGAGTGCCCCCAAGACAAGTGCAGGCGCATGTGCACAAAGTAGCCCCAGTGCAGGCATTGGCACCGGGGTTTGCAATGCTCCAGCTGTGGGCAAAAGCACCACCTTCTGGAGGTACCTCGGTGCCAACATCACACTGCATGCCACGGCACCGCTGATCAGAGTGCCCCCGGGGCAGGCAGCAGCACCGGTGTTGACAGCTTCCCAGGAGCACAGCAGCACCCCCGGCAGGCAGAAATATCCCAGCTCAGCTGACAGTGACAGCAGTCTCTGAACAGAAGAAATCTGCAACTGGCCAGGGGTGGGAAGGGGTCATGGATTTCCTCAGTCCCACACTGCCCTAGGATGATATTCAAGAATGTGACCTGTAATGGGATCCATCCAGCACACACAGGACAAAGATTACCTGTATAAGCAAAGTCTGAATGAGCTTTCCTCTAACCTCTAGCAATGAGCCAACATGAAAAGATTTCAGGAGGGGACTGTATTTGCATAAACACACCTACTTTTCCTAGGCACACAGCGTGATGGAGCTGCTTTGCCAAAGTTTTGGCTAGGGTTGGGTTACAAATCACTTTATTGAATGCAGATCTAATGAAATGCTGTTACCCTCATTATAGAAGTAAAGGTTGCAGAACCATACTTAGCCTGCCCTGATTTGAGGGGATCACTGAGTCTCACTTGTTATGCAGGGATAGGGATACTAAAGAGTTGGACAGGAGAGAGAATGTGGGAATGAGTGTTTATGTTTGGTAGTGCAGGGTCTTGCTAGTGCGTCCTATGCATTATTTGATACTTTTCTCTGTACTGTTTAAAGGTAGAGCTGATTAGATTATGTTGCAAATCCTTGTCTTGTTCAGTGATCGGTAGAGAGAAATCATGGATAACTAGGTGCTGAATCTTAGATCTGGGATGTGGCAGCGATGCACTGCAAGGCCTGCACTAGAAGTGGGGTTCCACCTAGGGTTGCCAGATACCTTGACAGAAAATCCCAAACATGGTGGGGGAAAAAATTGGGAAGGGGAAACCAAACTTGTTGAGGGGAAAAAAAAGTGGGAGGGAAGAGACCAAACTTGTTGAGGGGAAAAAAGTCACTGTGCATTTAAATTCCCATGCTCCCCACTCCCCCGCCAGCCGTGGCAAGGGAAAAATGTCCCTGCTGGCCTTCTGTCCAAGAAAAACAGAAAATACCGGACATTGTTTTTTTTTTTAATCCAGACAGACTGTCCGGGCAAAAACCAGACACCTGGCAACCCTAGTTCCACCCCATTACAATCACCAAGCGCTATGGCATGTGATAAAATGTGATATTCATTCTGATGCAGTAACAGTGGCACAGGGGGTAGTGATTGTCTAGTGGAAACTAGAAACTGAGCCAATTGCAGTGGAGCAGACGGAAGCAGAGGTATTGCCTGACACTTATGGGGTGAACTCATTGAACATACCTCAATTATGGGCCTTTAGTGATGAAAGACAGTAAAGAGAAAGAGGGGTGCAGTAGTGGGAGGGGCGAGTGGTGTGTTTTGAGTACTGCCCATTCCCTCCTGCACAGTGCCAAAAGGCTGCTGCTTGCCATGTTCTGGTGTGAACTGCAACACATCTGGGCAGGGGGGCCTGTGATCTGCATACCTCTCCCCCATGTTGCCTTGAGAAGACAGTGCCAGGTATCAGGAAAAGTGAGTCTGCCCTGGGGCCCCAGCCTGGTATGGAAGGTGGAGAGCATTGGGTAGGGAGGATTGGGTCAGGTTGGCCAATCACCCACATCCTCATGTGAGAGAGGCGTGTCACCTCTCCCCCTGCAAACCTTAAAGATCAGAAGACTCCTGCTGTGCAGCATTTTTTATCAGGGCTCAGTCAACTTGACATTAATTTGAACTTTTGTACTGAATAATTCTGATTGATTGGCATTGAACTAGCTTGAAGAGGAGAAATTTTACCAGGTGTCCTGTATTCAGCATAGGATGCCCCTATTTCCCTGTGTCCAACCAGGTCAAATCAGGCCTTACCCCATGCGCTGAGGCATTTCCAGATTCATTATCTGCCTAGGGGTTTCCATTAATTGCTCCTTCCTTCTCTCTCTCCCCACAGTGGTCTTAGTTACAGCAGAACATACCCATAGGGCCAGAATACAATTCACCAGCTACATGAACACAGACAGTCTTCATACCATTAGTACCATGGTCTGGTGAGGCCAAGAGAAGGGCCAGCTGTAGACCAAACCTCCCCCCGCCCTTAGACACATGTGCAGTTGTTAAACTTTTGAATACTTCTTTCTAAAAATTGCATTTGTATCCATTTTATGACATATGCGGAATCTGCATGCATTATTTATCCCTGTCATATATGATAAATTAGAATCCTAGGATATGCAAAACTATTTATTCATGCTGTACATGAACAAATAAAACTTGTTTCCTCTAAGTTTATAGAAATTTTAAGAGTATCTGAAATATACTATTAAATATCTGAAGTATGACAGTCTTAGAATGTTAACCATGGTCCTTTAGTTCAAATGGTCATTTTTATCATCTTTGCCCTTGCAAACTGAAGCACAGCATCAGAGCCATCCAAATTACACAAAACAACTTTCATACTTACACAATATCACAGCTGGGTTCTCACTTCACTTCATAAGAACGGCCGTACTGGGTCAGACCAAAGGTCCATCTAGCCCAGTATCCTGTCTCCCGACAGTGGCCAGCACCAGGTGCCCCAGAGGGGGTGGACCAAAGACAATGATCAAGTGATTTGTCTCCTGCCATCCCTCTCCAGCCTCTGACAGACAGAGGCCAAGGACACCATTTTATCCCCTGGCTAATGGCCTTTTATGGACCTAACCTCCATGAAATTATCTAGCTTCTCTTTAAACTCTATTATAGTCCTAGCCTTCACAGCATCCTCTGGCAAGGAGTTCCACAGGTTGACCACACGCTGTGTGAAGAAGAACTCTCTTTTATTAGTTTTAAACCTGCTCCCCATTAATTTCATTTGGTGTCCTCTATTTCTTCTATTTAGGGAACTAATAAATAACTTTTCTTTATCGGCCCTCTCCACACCACTCATGATTTTATATACCTCTATCATATTCCCCCTCAGTCTCCTTTTTTCTAAACTGAAAAGTCCCAGTCGCTTTAACCTCTCCTCATATGGGACCCATTCCAAACCCCTAATCATTTTAGTTGCCCTTTTCTGAACCCTTTCCAAGGCCAAAATATCTTTTTTAAGGTGAGGAGACCACATCTGTACACAGTATTCAAGATGTGGGCGTACCATAGTTTTATACAGGGGCAGTAAGATATTCTGGGTCTTATTTTCTATCCCTTTCCTAATAATTCCTAGCTTCCTATTTGCCTTTTTGACCGCCGCTGCACACTGTGTGGAAGTTTTCAGAGAACTGTCCACAATAACTCCAAGATCTCTTTCCTGATTTGTCGTAGCCAAATTAGCCCCCATCATACTGTACGTATAGCTGGGGTTATTTTTCCCAATGTGCATTACTCTACACTTATCCACATTAAATTTCATTTGCCATTTTGTTGCCCAATCACTCCGTTTGGTGAGATCTTCTTGGAGTCCCTCACAGTCTGCTTCTGTCTTGACTATCCTAAACAGTTTTGTATCATCTGCAAACTTTACCACCTCACTGCTTACCCCTTTCTCCAGATCATTTATGAATAAGTTGAAAAGGATTGGTCCCAGGACTGACCCTTGGGGGACACCACTAGTTACCCCTCTCCAATCTGAAAATTTACCATTTATTCCTACCCTTTGTTTCCTGTCTTTTAATCAGTTCTCAATCCAAGAAAGGACCTTCTCTCTTATCCCATGGCCTTGTAATTTACACAAGAGCCTTTGCTGAGGGACCTTGTCAAAGGCTTTCTGAAAATCCAAGTATACTCTATCTACTGGATCCCCCTTGTCTACATGTTTGTTAACCCCTGCAAAGAACTCTAATAGATTAGTAAAACAGGATTTCCATTTACAGAAACCATGTTGACTTTTGTCCAACAAATTATGTTCTTCTACATGCTTCACAATTTTATTCTTTACTATTGTTTTGACTAATTTGCCCAGTACTGAAGTTAGACTTACCAGTCTGTAATTGCCAGGATCGCTTCTAGAGCCCTTTTTAAATATTGGTTTCACGTTGGCTACCTTCCAGTCATTAGGGACGGAAACCGATTTAAAGGATAGGTTAAAAACCACAGATAATAGTTCAGCAATTTCCCATTTGAGTTCTTTTAGACCCCTTGGATGAATGCCATCCAGTCCCAGAGATTTGTTAACATTAAGTTTTTCTATTTGTTCCAAAACCTCCTCTAATGACACTTCAATCCGGGACAGTTCCTCAGATTCATCACCCACAAAGGACGGTGCAGATGCAGGAATCTCCCCAACGTCCTCAGCCGTGAAGACTGAAGCAAAGAAATCATTTAGTTTCTCCGCAATGGCGTCCTGGATTGCTCCTTTTATAGCTTGATCATCTAGGGGCCCCACAGGTTTTTTATCAGGCTTCCTGTTTCTAATGTACTTAAAAAACATTTTGTTATTTCTTTTTGAGTTTCTGGCTAGCTGTTCCTCAAAATCTTTTTTTGCTTTTCTTATTACATATTTATACTTGATTTGACAGTGTTTATGTTCCTTTCTATTTATCTCACTAGGATTGGACTTCCACTTCTTAAAAGATGCCTTTTGGTCCCTCACTGCTTCTTTTACATGGTGGTTAAGCCACGGTGACTCTTTTTAAGGTCTCTTGCTATGTTTTTAAATTTGGGGTATACATTTAAGTTGGGCCTCTATTATGGTGTCTTTAAAAAGTTTCCATGCAGCTTTCAGGGATTTGGCTCTAGTCACTGTGCCTTTTAATTTCTGTTTAATTAACCTCCTCATTTTTGTGTAATTCCCCTTTTTGAAATTAAATGCCAGGGTGCTGGACTGCTGAGGTGTTCTTCCCACCACAGGAATGTTAAATGTTATTATATTATGGTCCCTATTCCCAAGCAGTCCTGTAATGGTTATATCCTGGACCTGATCCTGCACTCCACTCAGGACTAAATCGAGAATTGCATCTCCCCTTGTGGGTTCCTGTACCAGCTGCTCCAAGAAGCAGTCATTTAAGCCATTGAGAAATTTTATCTCCGCTTCTCTTCCTGAGGTGACATGTATCCAGTCAATATGGGGGTAATTAAAATCCCCCATTATTATAGAGTTCTTTATTTTGGTAGCCTCTCTAATCTCCCTTAGCATTTCAATGTCAGTATCGCGGTCCTAGTCAGGTGGTCAGTAATACATCTCTACTGCTAATTTCTTATTATTGGAGCATGGAATTTCTATCCATAGCGATTCTATTGAACATGTTGATTCACTTAATATTTTTATTTCATTTGATTCTATATTATCTTTCACATACAGTGCCACTCCGCCACCCACCCGGCCTGCTCTATCCTTTCTATATATTTTATATCCCGGTATGATTGTGTCCCACAGATTTTCCTCATTCCACCAGGTTTCAGTGATGCCTATTATGTCAATCTCCTCCTTTAATACGAGGTACTCTAGTTCACCCATCTTATTAGTCAGACTCCTAGCATTTGTGTAGAAGCACTTTAAAAATTTGCCACTGCTTATTTGTCTGCCCTTCCCTGATGCATTGGATTCCTTTGAATGCGGTTGTTTGTCTGCTCTGGCCCATGGTTTGCCCTCTCCCCTCCTCTCTTTCTGACTTCATTCTTGCGCCTTACGGGCTGGCTGGCGACACCTTTACATACTTTACATACCTGCAAGGACTGATTGTACATCCAGAACCGAAAATTTTATTTCAAACATTCCATTTTCCTTTTTGTTGCTAACAACCACACTAGCACTCTGATCCTAACATCTCCCAAGCCCTGAGGGCAGGTGGCTGCCTGTCTCTAAATCTGAATCATGCACTTCTTGTAACCATTGAGGGAGCCCATACTCTGGTAAGGGACCTTGCCCCCCAGCCAAACCCCCTACGCTTGCAGGTCAGAGCTTAGACTGTCCTTGTTCCTCTTCTTGCTACTAATGTATCTGTATTTCTTGTTACCCTTTATATAAGTAGTAGATAGTTTGATCTTGTTTTGTGCATTAGCCTATTTTTCCCCTTTACATACTTGTGGGCTGCGTCTAGACTGGCATGATTTTCCGCAAATGTTTTTAACGGAAAAGTTTTTCTTGCGGTTTTGCGCAAGAAAGCCCCGATCGCCATTCTCGCCATCGGGGCTTTTTTGCGCAAAACGGTTCTCAGCTGTCTACACTGGCCCTCTTGCGCAAAAGCATTTGCGCAAGAGGGATTTTTTCCCGAACGGGAGAGTCATTGTATTTGCGGAAGAACACTGACAATCTTACATTAGATCGTCAGTGTTCTTGCGCAAATTCAAAGCAGCCAGTGTAGACAGCTGGCAAGTTTTTCCACAAAAGCACCTGCTTTTGTGGAAAAATTTGCCAGTCTAGACACAGCCATGTAGTTTATAGTTACACTTTGTAATTTAACTTGGTTTCCACTGTAGTATTTTGGTTTCCACTGTAGAGTGTCACCTGAGAAGCGATTAACTGGTGGCCCAGCTGGACTGGAGCGGCCCCCTGCCCAATATGGGTGGAGGGGTGCTCCAGCCTAGCTGGGCCCCCATGTAACTAGTTAACATTTTCAACAGGATTTTACATCCCAGCTTTCCATGGGATCTTCTCTGCCAATTCACTAGTTGGCTAATGTCTGCTTTCTTGAAATCCGTTGTCTTTATTTTGCTGTTGTCCCTTCTACCAGTTCTTAGACTCAGGGATACTTTTTAACTTATCCCAAGAAGAGAGACCGGTTTCATTTAGGGCTAATCTACTTGCATCCTTGGAACTGTCATGTAGCATTCTGGCCTGACCTTGTGACACACTCTAGAAGGGATATGAAGTGTCTGTCATCACAAGTAGAAAGATAGACTATAACCTACAACTTCTGGTACTTAAGTTTTGACACAGATGACGTACACTGCCCTGCCCCAAAGCAGGGGCTAGAACCATACGTTTACATCTGAGCTCACAGCAAGGGTACATTGGTGGGCCCTAGAGTGACAACAGACTTGTGTCTTAGACAGGGTAGGTTCTAGAAGCAGCAAAGCCATGACATCACAAGGTCCCGGCACGTTCTGGAACACCAGCCCTGACTTTGGCCCTCAGGAGGAATCTGGGACTTGCTGCTTCTGTACACTGCACAGCCCTGGTGAGCAACTATCTGGAAGGGGAACCAAGGGAGAGGCCATATCCTAGTTTGCATTCCAGCTAGCCCCGCAAAGAGGACAGGACAGCCATCAGCACTGCTGGCAACCTTCTGTGGACCATCATTGTTTAGGCTGTACGAGTCCTCCTGGGCCATCTTGGCTGGCTAGCCATGGCCCATAGATGGAGGGCTGCCTGGCAGAGTGGAGCGACACGTTCCATAGGATAAGGTCCCAATACAGGCATTCAAACAACACTCCCCTCCTCCTTTACAGTGTACCTGTGTAAGCAGCCTGTACTGGATCTGGGGCTGCAGACGTCCCCTAGAGTGCACATTCCACCTCCGGCCACACTGCAGGAATGGTGTCTCTTGTGCTGCTGGCCACCTTGGCCTCCCTCCTCACAGGGAACATGGGAAAGATCTTCCAGCGCTGCGAGCTAGCCCAGGTGCTGCACCACGCAGGGATGGATGGGTTCCGAGGCTACAGCCTGGCTGACTGTGAGTGGGCCCCTGGCCTTCCCATGGGGCTGTGTGTAGATTCCCCTTCCCCCAGTGAAACCCACGAACCCACCCCCAGCCCTCCCCACAGAGATCTGTTCATATTCCTCCCCTGGCCCCATACAAAGGGCTCCGTGCATGTGTCCCACTCCCAGCCTCACCCCCATGTGGTTCTGTGCGTGACCCTTCCATAGCCCTACTCCCAAGGGGCTCTGTGCGTGACCCTCCCCCAGCCCCACAAGGCACTGTGCATGACTTCCCCATTCCCATCCCCATGTGGCTCTGTGCGTGACGCTTCCCCAGCCCCACCCCTGGGGCTCAGTGAAGATTACTAATCCTTGCCTCAGGGTTGTGCTTGGCTTTTCACGAGAGTCGGTTCGACACGGGCACTGTAGACCATGAAGCTGATGGCAGCACCGACAACGGCATCTTCCAGATCAACAGCCGCCTATGGTGTGAGGACTACAAGAGCTCTGCCCGGAACCTGTGCCACATGCACTGCAGCGGTGAGTCCCTGCTTCCAGGCCCAGAACAGAGCCCAATTGCCCTGAGCTAGAGACTTGCATGGCAGTTTGGGCCCTCAGGAGGTGCTTAGTCCAGGCCAGGCCATTTTGGAATGGCAAAGAACTATCCTTGCCTTCTGGGGACAGCAGAAGGTATCCCAGAGAGCAAGGGGGTGGGGTGGTGTTGGGGGGGAGGAGGAGAGAAGGGGGGGCTAATTAGCTGAAAGGTTGTCTCTCCAGCTAGAAGGACCAGGGCTCCCAGGGAGTTGAGTTACCAAGGGATACACCCATCCTCACTCTCTTCTCCCTTCCCAGATTTGTTGACCAGTAACATCAATGATGACATTGTGTGTGCCATGCAGATTGTGCAGCAGCCAAGGGGCCTCGGGGCCTGGTAAGGGATGCGGACAGACGGCCAATGTGGCCCTGCACAGCAAAAGGCAAAGTGTGCAGCACAGTGTAACCTGGCACTACACCACCACCTCTGCCCCACAACATGCACAACACAGCACTACCCAGCTGCACCATGGCATTGCACATTGCAACGTAGTCAATGCAGTGCAACACAATGGTATACAGCAATATTTAGTGCAACAAAAAGCTACACAATGCAGTCCCCACCAGAAAACCCCACAAAACAAGGCAGCGTAAGGAAAACGTGCTCTAGTTTGGTACTCTTTATACAACCCAACAAACTGCAAAACAGCACAGGGCAACCAGGCTGTGAGCTTGCTGCTCGGACCATAGGCAGCTGCTGCTCAGGCCTGGGCAAGCAATCCTCAGGCAATGCTGCTGATACTCAAATGCTTCCCCCACAGCAGGCCTGGGCAAAATATGGCCTGCGGGCCGAATCTGGCCCACAGAGGCAGTAGGGAGCCCCGCAGATTCCCCACATGCCAGAAAAGGAGCTTCTGGCAACTCCTGCTCAGTACCATGTGAGCTAACTCCATGCTTTGCCACTGCACTTGTAACCTGGCTGCTCCTGCCCCATCTCAGCCTGATGAGTGAACCCTGCACCACATGTCTGTGTAGCTGTGATCCAGCTGCCCCACCCAGAACTGGCTGCATCTCACCACTGCACAAGTCATCCCCATGCAGCAGCACTGCTCTCAAAGCCAGCTGATCTCATTGACTTTGTTCTCTCTGTTTACTCTTCTCAGGCTGGCCTGGAGGAAACATTGTGAGGGCCGCGACCTCTCCCAGTGGGTGGAAGGATGTAATGTGGGAAGTAGATGAAGGCATGCCTGGGATGCCCTGGACCTGCTAGATGGAGCATACACTGCAGTCACACCAGGCCTCTGCTGATTTAGCAACTCACTGAAATCCCCCATGATCCCCTACTTCTTCTTCACTAGCGCCCAAGTGGGTCACTAACTGTGGGGGAGCGCTGCCTCTAGTAGTCACAGATGGGACTGCACTATAGGGCACTGGGAGCAAGTGTTCCTGAATAAAGCTCTCTGAAGGCCTAATGACAAAAGGGTCATGAATTTTTTTGAGAGAAGACAATAGGATCTAGAGCGGGAGGCGGGCTGGAGTCAAGACTCCTGGATTCAATTCCCAGCTCCGGGATGGTTGTGAGGGTCCTAGTGACAAGAGCAAGGAGGATGGAGTCTGTGGGTCGGGGCTCTTGGATTCGATTCCCAGTTCTGGGAGGCGCTGAGAGTCAGGAAGCCTGTTTCTATTCCCATTTCTGTTCAGCCATCTCTTTGGAGACTAATGTTTCTATTGATTGTGGCCCCCTTGTCCCAAGCAAGTAGTTGACTAACCGATAAGCCTAAGTTTGTCAATTACTCTAGTCAACTATGACTATTCGCATCCGTCCCCCCACGCGCTGCCTCTGTATCAGAGGAAGCAAGGGAGGGAAGAAGCAGGTGCTGGGGGAAGCCAGTATAAAAGCTGGTTCCCCACGGCACCATCTCCACAGTGTCGTCTTCCGCCCCCCCAAGCTGCTGCCTCTAACAGAGGCAGCAGCCAGGAGAATGGACCGGGGGGAGGGAGCTCAGAACCCTGCGGACAGGGGCTGTTGCTATCCTGTGCTGCTGTCTCTGTATCAGAGGCAGCAGTGTGGGGCAGTAGGCAGCCAGCCTGCATGGGGAGCCGTTTTTTAAACTGGCTCCCTTCAAGGACTGGCTACCACTTGGCACGCTGAGGTAACAGGGGGCTCCCTGAGAGTGGGGCTGGAGTGCACTGGGTGCTGGTCCTGCCCCCAGGACTACAGCATAGTTGACTATTCTAATACCTAATAGCTAACATCCCTACTTGTCACATTAAATCTGAAGCAGCTGCTATCCACAATGGGAGCCAGAGAGGAAGATGGGGGTCCTCCTGGGCATGTCAGGGAGGGCAGGCTCTTCCAGGGGCAGAAAAATGAGCCTTTGTACAGAAGGAACCGGAAAATACAAAACAATACAATAGACGGTTGGGTCTTTCCTACTCCCCTGCTGCACCCACTTGACTGCTTCATTGTATTTATGGAAATCCCTGGTGGTTCACACGGGAAGTGTTTCCAGATTCCCCAGCTAAGGTCACACAAATTCCAGTGTCAGTTATTAAACTGAGGTCAAATAATCAGTCCAATTCTATAGAGGGGGGACTATATGGAGATAGATAAATAGCCAGGTGGTGGGGGGCAGAGAGAGAGACACAGATGCAGAAAGTAGTAGGAGGAGAGGCAGAGATAAAGTTAGGAGCGGAAGACGCTCAGAGGTATTTGAGATGAGTGTGCAGGCAGAAGGAGATAGTGGCTCTGAGCAGTACCAGTCCTGTGTGGGGCTGTCAGAAATGACAGAGCCTGGTGGCTCCCATATGCTGACAGGAGCCTAGCCCCATTGCCTATATGACCAGTGGGGTTCCACAGGAGTCTGTTTTGGGACCAGTTCTGTTCAATTTCTTCATCAACAATTTAGATATCTGCATAGAGAGCATGCTTATTAAGTTTGCAGATGATACCAAGCTAGGAGGGGTTGCAACTGCTTTGGAGGATAGGGTCATAATTCACAATGATCTGGACAAATTGGAGAAATTTGAAGTAAACATGATGAAGTTTAATAAGAACAAATTCAAAGTGCTCCACTTAGGAAGGAACAATCAGTTTCACACATACAGAATGAGAAGCAACTGTCTAGGAAGGAGTACGGCAGAAAGGGATCTAGGGGCTATAGTGGACCACATACTGGCTGTGTCTAGACTGGCCAGTTTTTCCGGAAAATCAGCAGCTTTTCCGGAAAAACTTGCCAGGTGTCTACACTGGCTGCTTGAATTTCCGCAAGAACACTGACTTCCTACTGTAAGAAATCAGTGCTTTTTGCGGAAATAATATGCTGCTCCCAGTCGGGCAAAAGTCCCTTTTGCGCAAAACTTTTGCGCAAAAGGGCCAGTGTAGACAGCTGAGATTTGTTTTGCGCAAAAAAGCCCCGATGGCTAAAATGGCAATCAGGGCTTTTTTGCGCAAAAGCGCGTCTAGATTGGCACGGACGCTTTTCAAGCGCCCGTGCCAATCTAGACGCTCTTTTCCGAAAATGCTTTTAACAGAAAACTTTTCCGTTAAAAGCATTTCCGGAAAATCCCGCCAGTGTAGCCGTAGCCGTAGATGGCATCATGAGCTTCCGTGGGCATAACCCACTTCTTCCGATGAAATGTAATCATGCAAATGTCCTGGCACACACAGCCATGCAGCCTGGTTTCCCCTCCACTCCGCCCCCCAAACCAGTCAGACAGAAAGGACTGCAATGTGGACTGCAGCAAGTGAGTCAGGAGGACATCGCAAACAAACTCCCTCCCTTCACCTCCACCTCACTGCACAGATGCCAGCAGCCACCCACCATCTTTTCCCCATCTACCCAGTGCAATCTGCCTCCTCCAACCCAGCTGGGAGCTGGCATAAAATCCTGCTTCTCAGACTTGCAAGCACCAACAGATCTACAGGACAAATAAAACAAATTCTCCACCTCTCACTTCAGGACACAGCACAAGGCCCCCCC